AAAAAACATTCAAGCAAAGGGGGTAGTCCAGCAAGCAGCTTTCTGACATTATTTAGGGGGGGCCCCTAGAATAATGTCTAGAGATTTCAGGCTTAAAAACATATTTTGCTTTAAGTAAACTTGTATTCATTCCCTTTCTTTTCCTTTTGGTTTGCTTTACTTACCCAAGCTCTTTAGTCTTTAAGCTGTCCAAAAGTTTCATTTTGCAGGTCTTTTGGATTCAGATTTCCATTGAAATTTAAAGAGTTAGTTCCATTTCCATTTCTATTTCCATTGATTCCCTTTTATTGTAATATTCCAGATGTCTTCAATCTGAGGTTTCATTGATCCCTTTTCATTTAATATTCCAGATGTCTTCAAAGTTAGGTGTCTTGATTCCTTTCATTTTAGTCCAGAGGTAGCTAAGTAAGGATCCCGTATTTATATATATCAATTGATTGGTTTTCTTGTATACTATTTTGGAGGCCTTGGTTGTTGAGGGGGGGGGGAGTTTATAAATCAAGAGACTACATTATCTGTTGAACCTCAAGATACACCACCATCCAGGACACCATCAACCACTGGTCACTGTCCACCTTTCACATCCTTTCACCTCCACATGTTCGCCACGCCGCTCCACCGTCGCTCGACGGCGCTCTGCCGCCGAGGTGCGGCGACGTTGGCGATGGAGGGCGCGGCCGGTGCGGCCGCTGCGGCGGCGATCAGCGCGGCGATCGCAACGAACGAAAACCTCCGCTGCACGGGGCACCCAGGCGGTCACTTCGTGTGTTGCCGAGCGGTGGAGGAATAGCTCCAATTCGGGAATCTATCTGCTGATGGAGGCCAACGGAGGCCGTAACTTGCCACCAACAAAGTCCCAAAGCCATCAAAAATAGCCATTGTTAGAGCATGCTATAGTAATTATGCTACAGTTGATTCTTTCGAAGATATCATCGACTGAACCTGCCAAGGTCCCTGCTGCCGAGGCGCTGCATTGTTTCTACGGTTTCTGGACACCGGAGGTGTTCCAAACTTCGTTCAAACTGAGCGAAGGGCTAAGTAGCTCACAGCAGAGCTGTTCAGAGCCAAAAACAATTTTGTACGGCGAGCAGTTTGTGATCCGAATGGCTGCTAACACAAAAGTTCATCATCCCTATCTGGTCAGGCAAACCCTGCAAATCCCTCATGGAAGTGCTTCCTGACCCAACTTGGCAATCCAATGAATCTACTACAGTCGCTATATACAAGTCCAGTCCGCCACACCACCATCCTCATCGCTTCAAAAGAAAGCCACATCATCAGCCCGGGCTGCGGCTATGGAAACGGCACACCTAGAACTGTCCGAGCTCTCCAAGCTAGAGTTTCTTCTCAATTGTTGTTTGGTGGGGACCAGTTTCTTCTTATCATATAATCTTCTTTAATCGCTCACCAAGAGCGGCCAGTTTCTTTGCTTCGACCACCTGGTCTTTTTCGTTTCCAGTTCCTCTCTCCTTCCCCTTCGACTTCGGCCATCACGGCCAGACCGACGTTCCCCGGCGCACCGGGCTGGGTGGCATGGATCGCATGGAGTCTTCTTCCAGGATGCGGCTGTTCTGGCGGCGTTCGGAAGATCGGATGGCCTCCGATCGAGAAGATCTGCTGTGTGTCAATAGAAACAATTGATGTTGGGTCTCTGAAGAGACATGAAAGTATGTCGGAAGAGACATGAAGAAGATGGGCGGGTCTTCAGGTATGAAATTCATTTGAAATTCCTGAAATTCGGTCATGCCGAAAAAGACAAGCCCGGTTGGTTGATAGCGCCAAAACTCGCGGCCATACGATACCACGTGGGATCCGTCAACGGAGCCGTTGGACTCTTGGGACCCTTGTTGGATAGATGAAGACGAAGACGAAGACGAACCTGGGTCGTTTGCATCAGAACATTCAGACGACCCCGACACTCGGGTGGCATCCCAGTGTGAAAAACATGCAGTTCTTTGCCGAACGAAGCACGACATGCAGAGTTGTGTGTAAGCACACAGCCCTTTGAAGGTGTTCGGACCGCGCGTTCAGATGACTTTTGTGGATCGAGGACGGCGCGTCCATTCTGGTGGAGTCCAGCTTGACGAACCTCAGCTCGGGCCTCGTGTTCACACCCATGGGCCCCAGGACTGGACCTGGGCGTCGTCCTGCGCTCCTTCCACCACCGACCCCTGGGCGCCCCTCGCATGTTTGGTCGACACCGTACAGACCTGGCGCTGGCATAGGTGCTGGAAATTCCGAGAGGTCCCTGCTGCGGCCCCGGCGTCCCTTTGTCCCGGTTCAACCTCCAACGGAGTTCCAATGGCTTGGGAAAGCACCCAAACCCTTTGGTGGGATCTCAGGGAGTGCAGATGATTGCAGTGCAAAGAAAAACATTCAAAGGAAAAACATGTTGAGCAATAAAATCTCTCATTGTGTTCTTGATTCTTGGAGACATGACACATATATTATATGACAAAGGATTGCTGGCTGCCACAAGCATTTTTCCCGTTGGATCCTGTCCTCGTGTTTGTCGCGAAAATTCCGTGCTTGATGTTCAATCTATGAGGAGAACCCACCTTTGAGAGGATCCTCTCCAGCTAAGGTAGCATCTGCAGCGTTGGGCAAATCTTGGAAGATCTTGGAAGCACTTGGCCGCTGTTTTTGCTCAGTGGGGCCGAGAGCCAATATAATGCTGGGGCATGATGTGTTTTTTGTACCTTGCACTGGACCATCAAACTTGAGGAAAGCGGGAATCTGGTAAGTTTAAGACACTTGAACGCACAGAACCTCTAAAGCTAAAACAGCGAAAGACCACTTTGATTATGTGTGCTGCGGCTTGAGCCACACCAACCAGTCGCCCCCCAGACAAGTTGCCGTGGTCTGGAACCTTGAGGATCTCTCAAGTTGGATCTTCTATGGCGGCGGCCCTTGAGCTGGATTCAGTCTTCTGAAAGCCGCCCAAATTCGGACGTAGCTCTGATGCAGTCCTGGAATGCAGTCCTATGGCCCTCAAAGACACCCGAAAAACACCCGAAAAAAGAAGCACCACGTGCACCGACCGACATGCTTCCGAAGCCATCCGACATCCGTGTTCGCCTTGGACAAGTGGCTCATCGGCTCCTCGATCTTCCACTGCGCCTCACGCGGTTTCGCCGAAACCGGTCGAAAACCGCCGGTGACGGAGGATGGCGATGATCGCAGGGTGGGGGGATCACAAGACCTGCGCGCATTTCTCAAGGCAAAGCTGTTCGGGGGGCAACTTTGATGTGATGGACTTGGTGGTTGAACTCTCACTCTCCACACTTTGTTGTGTCAAAAGGATTCAAAAGGCATGTCCCACCTCGCCACCTCACCACCTTCACCAGGCTTGTTGATCCTTGTTGAGCCTTCCCTCCTCCTGTCTCCTCCGTCTCCGCCCTCACCCGGCACGCCTCGTCGATCTCCAAGACCAGCAGCGTGGTGTCATCGGGGTCGATGCCTCCCAGCGTGGCGACCGGCACGGGCGACCGGCGTTCTTCAGAGGCGACCGGTAGGCGCCGCTTAAGGGCTCTCCGCAAACAAAGAGCAAGGGTTGCACCTGGGTTGCCCCCGTACCCAGGCCTCATCTGCATCGATACTAATACTGACACATCTGACACCCACTCCCCAAACAAATGCTTGCCAGCGAACCCTTGGCACATGCCGTGCGCGAGTCGCACAGGCGACCAGGTGAAATACCGTCCATCCATTTGATGGTCCAACGACCATCACCGGGGTCAGGGTGAATCGAGCAATTGCCCAAGAAGATCCAAGAAGGGTTTTCTTGTGGCTTTTAAAGCAAGCTCCACCTCCAGAATCTTGCAGATCCTTATTCCACAGAGTGGTCCTTTTCGGATGTGGATCGTTTTCATGTTACATGTTGCTTTCCCTGCACCATGCATGTTGTATATAGACTATAATATTCTTCATACTCTAAATCTTTGATCTTGAAGCCAATCAACTCCAAGCTAGCGCTCCATCCCAACACGTCTCGCATGTTGGATCATTTTGGCCTTTCGCCGTGTCCCCCCAGTGCGAAAGAACACCACTCCTCGCCACCGCAGCTTTTCCCGCGCGGCGGCGTGTCAGACGAGGGGCTGTTCTCGAAGCGGCAGAAGTTCGTGCGTCCGAAGTAGCCCGGTTTCTCAAAGCCACACTTCGCCTGTTCCGCTGCCGGCGCCGTGAGCGGGTTTTTAGAGCGCGTCGTTGTGCGGGTTTTCCCCCGGCAGAAAATGGAGCCGGAGTCGTTTGAACGGGGAACGGAGCTGGCTGGTGAAGGAGGCTAAACGGCTAAAGTGACTGAAGTGACTAAAAGGTAGTTGTGATCATTTCAGGACAAGTGTGGCTTTCCTGGGACATCCTGGGAGGGTGTTTTCCTTCTTGCAAAGATCACGGCTTCCCCCTAGAATCTAGAACAGGTTGGACTATTGCATGTTGGGGATCTGATGTTCAGTTCCGAATACAACACCAATCACCACCATTAATCTGCACAAGTGACACATGACAGTTCCATCCATCCATTTTGTCTCAACATCGAAAAGCGCCTGGGTTGTTGTAGATTGTAGGCAAGTGGCGATTACAGGCTTAGGCTTCAAACCCAGCCGTCTGCAGGGATAGTTGCTAAATGTGACTTATCTATCCGAGTCCCACTTCCCATCCCGCATGGCTCAGCATGTGCCTCGCGCTTGTGCTTTCCCACCGAAAGCCAGCACTTGATCATGCTGCCGGCTGGGCCTCGTTCTGAGGCGATGGCGAAGCTACTTGACTGAGTGGTCTGCATGACCTGTTGATCCACCTCGAGAACCCACCAAAACACCGAACGCGTCGGGAGACTGGTTCACGCGTTGGTTTGGATACTGAGAGTTCCTCTACGATTGAGTCCATGCTAGTCAACAGGTGAAGTAGTTAAATGTTTTAACCGCCCCTGAGCCTCGAAGATAGTTATTTCAGTCACATCCAATGAATCTCTACTCGCTGGCCACAAAGGAGTTGCCATGTCCTATAACGTTCTATGCATGTAATATTACATAATTGATCATCCTCGCTGGTGGCAACCCACCAGCAGTACTGAAAAGCATCAATCGTGGATAATGATAACGAGTTGAAAGGAACACCTAGCAAGCAATCCTGACTGAGATCTGCCACTAGGACCTAGGACCCAAATCCGGTAAAAGCCATAGCTAGCTCCAGAATGAGTTGCGGAAAAGTCATTGGTTAGTCCTAGTCCTTCTTCATTCCAAATCGAGCCATGCTTTGGAGACTCCGGGTTGGACCACTTCAGCCTTTTCGAGACCCCCCGTGTTCGCTCGAATCACTTTGAGCACCCCAGCAATGGAGGAAGAAAGAGCAGAAGCCTCACAGCAGAGACATCTTGGACCGGTGGTGCTTGGAGATGGGGTGGCGGATCTTTTGGAGCTCTGCAGAAGAAAGAAGTAACAAACGCCCCGCGACCCTCACAAACTGTCTTGGTCGGGCAGTTCCTCACTTGAGCTTCACTAACCCATGCTTCTGTGAAGGAGGGGCAGTGTGTTCGCCATGAGTGCATCTCCATCTTCAAACGACAGGTCTTGTTTTGATGTTGGTGGGGGGTTGAGCCTGTTTCACCACATTCTTATATCTCCTTGGGGCACTGGTTTTCTTTCATGTGTCTGCAGCCCCACCTGGTGTGTAAGCAAGACAGGAGGGTTGGCAGGAGCCTAGCTTATTCCTCTGATACTGGGCTCTCTAGGAAACGGCGTTGTGTCAACTCCATGAATCAAATCGACCAATCACCCAGTGCTTGGGGCATCCCTTCAATCCCCCTTTTACAGAAAGCCATCGATCTTTGGAAACAACTAGAAACATATATAAACATAACTAAGTCTATATATCTGTCTATAAATCAATTAAACAAATTGTTGGTCTGGAACACTTTCTTGAACTTCCAAACACGAAACACAAAAAAACAAAGAAACGACGCTGACTAACTCACGTTGGTCGTCACGAGAGAGAAAAAGAAACAACACCGGAGACCTTCGCCCTTCGACCTGCTTCGCCCCGGCGATTCGAATCGGTCGGGCCTTCTTTGGCGCCCAAGTAGCCCGAGGGATAAAAGACCTGGACGACGAAAAGACCCCAGGTCTCCCCGTCGCGGGTCGGTTGCGGAAAGGGTCCGGGCGAAAGAGATACCGCGAGAAGGAAGGGCGTAAGATGAGAATATGTCATGTTATATCATCTACTGACTACCTAGGGGGGGCGTCACCTAATTGTGATTTGCTGGATAGGGGGGTAGGGATGTTGTATCCTGTTAAATAGCATGTGAATGGCCTTCAGATTTGGCCTTCTAGCGTTCATCTAGCTGGTCTAAAGCTGACGATTGCAAACAACATCTGCAACAATGGCAGGTTGCTCCATCCTGCAGGCCCCTCAGTAGGGCTCCCAACCAGTTGGAGATCATCAACCTCAGGCCATGGGAAGAGGTGGCGAACTGGGACCAGGAGCTGCGAAGACGCAAGATCTTCGCAAACATCGTCAACCAATCCAGGACAGGTGTGGCGACCCCACGCGAAAGCAAAAACGATGAAAAGCGGCTTCTGTTACCCAGTAGTCAAGCGTTCCACGGGAGAAGTGGAAAGAAAGCACTGCCATGGTCGGGGAAACATGCCAGGGCCGTCCTTGATGCACTAGACAGTCTCGACTCGAGCTTGCCGTGCAACGCTCCACCCCGGAACACTTCTAGATTCTAGTCCAAAGAACCCTCAAAAGTTATCCTGTTGGCCTGGGGTTGAGAAAGTAAGTCAACCCCATTGAAAGCTGAAAGGCCCTCCCCTTCGTGGCACATGTTCTAGGAACTATTCCAACAACCACCTTCCCATCCTTCCTGTCCAAACTCCAGAGCCTGTCGAAAACCCGGATGCAGGCTCCCGGGCCCCTGCAGCTTCAAAGGTGGTGCTGCAAAGGCATTCGTTCTCTGGGAAACACCTTGGGCGGTAAGGGGGCGGGTCGGCCAATCGGGTTCTCCCCAGGACTTCGGGGCTTCTTCGTTGGGTTCGTGGGTCAGCGAAGCTTCCCCTGGTTTTGAAGAACCAAACGGCGTTGCCAAAAAACCTGCCAGCTGCCAAATGTGCGACACTCAAAAGCGCCGCAGGGTGGCACAAACATGAACAGACCATGTCTACCAAGTACAGCAGGTATTCATGAAAGTTCGTGTTGGCTGTGAGATGTACTTGGCCCACGGCGGATAGACGGCCGTGGGCTTTTCTTACATGTTTTTTGATATTTTTTTATACAGTACTACGTGTCAGAATTTTGGGGTGGGGTGGGGGGGTGGGGGTGGGGCTTATTAGCACACCTGTGGCGTAGCATGTTATCTACTTTAGTTTATTTTCTTGCGGGTTACATTCGGTTAGACACTGCATCCGTTTTGGGTTTTTTTGGACTTGGACGAGGTACAAGCGAAACTCTGATTTTATCGAAATCTGCATGGAATTCACAATGATTCCAATGATGAAGTGTCGCTCACATCATTCCTAATGGAATTATGCATATTTAAGATTGATTACCCCACGACCACCCTTCATTACCCCACGGCCGTCTATCCGCCGTGGACCTAGTTAGGTTGCAAACAACCGTTGTCTATCAACAGTTGATTTGTTGTGCTTTGCCTTTCAGGATGTACGAGGCCACCTTAATCTCCAAGTAAAGGAAGTTGGAATGGGTTCCGCCGTTGCACCAATGAGCGGATCCTAAAAGTCAGAAAGAATCTCTACACAGAGAAACCTGCTTTAATCAACCAGAGGATGTTGCTCAAGCAATTGCAGCCACATCACAGTCATCACACACCCTCTTCTTCCCCGGGTTCCGCCGTTGCGCCCGGGGTCCGCCCCCCCCCCGGGGCTCCGGCTTCCGGAGCTGCGACGCCTTCTCCAAGCGCCACTCCTCGGTGGCCGGAGCGACGGCCCGGCGGAGGCGGAGTGCCCGAACGGGTCGGACGCGGAGCCGAGCGGCGATGCGTCGGACCATGCCGGAGCGGATGAGATCCACCTGGCCGCGGAAGAAGTGGAAGTGGGGACAACAACACTCCCCAGGCCCAAAGCCCTGCAGCCATCCTTCAGGCAAAAAGAATATTGGAATATATTGGAATATAAATTGGCCCGCTTTAAAAGAATGGCTGTTGACATAGTGAATAAGAGTGGAAGACATGCGTGGGCAGACCTCTCTGTTGTTCATTGCTTTGCAGGGACCCCCTGGGTAGATCGGAGTAGGTTGGGACGTCCCTTACACTGTCGAGGACACAACTGCCTATAAAATGATGGTGCCCAAACAACCTGTTGGTTGTCTAGGGGTAGCACCGGGAGTTCTGTATGGTCTAGGGGCAGCAGATGAACATCATGTTGCTTGGACATCTCTTCATGCCATGCTCTTTTTTGCCTGCTGCCGGCGCTGCAGCGCGCAGTTGTTACTTGCTGTGCGCGCAAGAAAGCCACGGAGCCTGATCCTGCATGATGTCCAAGAGCCGGTGGTTCAAGTAACGATGGTACCTCAATGGACACAAACTATGTCCATGGAAGGCCACGCACATACAACCCAATGGGTCGTTCAGTGTGCCAAAGAACCCGGTGCTTGCCGGAAGCAAGAGAATTGTAGATCAACCAACACCATGCTTCTTTTGGTAGTGCCCTCATACAGTATAACTGTATACTCCTTTGGCCCTTGGAACCACAGACCTGTCACGGACTAGTATTTCATCTATTGGCGGGTCAGAATACCCCACGAACCATATGAGAGCTCTCAGGTGTTCAGACGGAAGCCGGCCTCCTCCGGCTTCGACCCAGCTTGGCCCCATTCCAAACGGTTCGGACCGACGATGCACCATGCAACCAAAGGCAAAACCCTATGGGGTCGCCATGGGAGGGGTCGCAGTTCCGGCAGATCGTGCCTCACGTCGCTCTCTGGAATTGGCAGATCTGGAATGCGCAGATTGGGCGCGTGCCCACCTGGTTATATCATATCCCTGGCTCTATCTGCTGAGAGTTCTTTTGTGGAGTTGGGCCCCCTTCCTTTGTATACATGCTTCCGGGTAGCCCACTGAGCGAATTATCTTAATCTTAAATTAATGAATTACAATTTACAATCTCATGTCCGTGGTATGCGTTCGATCTTCTTCCACTGAACTTCCTTCTGAATCAGAAAGAAAACCTTCACAACTCATAACTCATAACGCCTGTTTTGATGTGCTCACTTCAGGGTCCAACGTTCCAGAACCGTGTGACGCCGCGAACGCACGGTGTAGTCGGAAGAAATGCACCACAGTGCTGCTCTTACTCGAGAAAGCGCTATGGAGAAAACAATGGCCTGTCAGCTGGATGGACGTCAGCAAAAAAGACTTGCCAGCATCACATGCCTCTGAGACTCTAAGCTGAAAAATGCGCTCGCAGCCCACATGCGGTCTTTTAGCACCTCGTGCTACAAAACACATCAATGCTCCTCCCCCAGGCATCGTCGTCCGGTCTTCCATTCCATCACTGGGATCGTCCCGGTGGTTTTGTCCGGTCAAGCCGACCTTGTTCCTCTTTTCTCTGAGGCAGACGTAGGGCTATTTGCATCTGCAAGGTTTTGCCTTGACGTGAAACACGGTGCACATTTGGGCTAGAAGATGCTAGAAGAGTTGGAGGAAGCTTTTGAGGCACAAGAGCTCTGGTGCACAAATGCGCAGCTGTGCATCGGGGGTCTCCTTCAACTCTTTTAGCAAAATGTCCTCGAGGAAAGCTTCAAAGGAACCTGAAGCCATTCGGCTTGTGGAACCACGAAACATTTCGGCCTTAGAGAACTCTGGAACACGCTCTGTTTCACGCTCTGCTGTGTCTGATTGCTGCTGACCTTTGATCCAGATTCTCGTCAAAGATCACTAAAGCCACCTGGTGGTTGGTTTCCTCCTTGATGGGCCTCCATCTGCAGCGATCAGATGCCTGCTCGGAGTGACCATCGCGCTTTGCGACACCCTTCCCACAGCGGCACCAGTAGCTTCCTTGCTCCGTTCGTAGTAAGGCCAGGGTCGCCCTGTTCGTAGCGTCCGAACGCTTCCGTTCGTAGCGATGCCCGAAATGCTCCGTTCGTCGCGTCCTTGCACGGCCATGCCTGTGTAGCCTACAGGCCTTCCGAAGTGGATCTCGTGCATGGCGGCGCCAGCAAAGCATAGCAAAGCAAGGAGTGTTTGGTCGAAATTCATGGATTCATGGGATCTTCTATTCTTGTGGGTTGTCCTTTTCAAACACATGCATAGATCCATCATATATAGATCCCTGATCCCCGTCCTTTTCCTCACCACCGGACCAATCACGCGTCGGACCCGCGTCGACTGAGTCTTCGCACAACACGTCGACGTCCTGTCCGCCCTCCTCCTGATCGGGGCGACACGCGGTCACGCTCAGCGACACGGGAACCGACAGGACTGACATTTTGCAGCACGACTCTGAAGTAGATACACAAAGTTGGTGGAGTATATACAGATGTACTGATAGACTGACATGGGGAGCACTCGTGAGCTTACTTTGATGATTTAGGCAGCTTTCAGAGAACTAGTCCCAAATATGGCTAATTAGGCCATTCATGGCCGGTGCTGTCACTCTCAAGAGAAAGCGACAAATGCGCACCTCACCTGCCACGAGTAGCGAGACATCTGACGCCCCTCGGGATGACCCGAGGTCTTAGACCGACCGGTGCGCCTGTCATTGGTTGATTCTTTGAAACCACATCCATCATGGTCTCCAGTGACCATTTGTGTTTGAGCCATCTTCTGGCAACAACGTATACCCCTCGGATCCGGAATTGCTTTGAAACGTAGCTTCGTTGCTTCGTTGGCTTTCATTTCGTCCGTCTCGGTGTCCTTCTCTTGGATCAAAGGGGGAGGGGTTGCACCAAAAATGTGAGGATGAACGAAACCAAAGCGACAGCGCTTACCCCACTCAACACCCCGACAGCGCTTCTTCCACGCGAAAGCCCCTTTTCGGGCTCGTGACGGGGTGACCCTGCGTGCTTCCAGAAATTGAAAGAACACCTCAAAGAAAGATAGGTGGTTCTTAGATGGAGCACAGTCTCCAGTGAATCTTTAAGAAATTCACGACACGCAAACACCAGAGACCTGGGACGTTTTCCCATTCCAATGGATCCTCAAAGGGATCACCCGGATCACCCGGTCTCTCCCCGTCCGACGTTGTCGAACCCCCGGTCCGCGGCGTCCTTCGGAGCCGGCACCGTCCGCTTGGCCCGGCGGATGGCCTGCGAGTGGGGAGTCGCCACGGCGGATGGCGTCCAATCGGGGGGAGTGGTGGGTCTGGTGGATATGGAGGGTTTCCCACCCCCAAATAAAAGGAACCAGAAACAAACACCCCAGGCGTGGTTGCGGTGGTTGTGGTGGTTGTGGTGGTGGGGGGTGGACAAAACCCCTCTCCGTCGATCTGCGGCCCGAAGGTCGCCTTCCTTTCCAACTCTAGGACGGTGCACCGAAACCATTTTCGGGCGTGGTCGGTCCAGGGAGAGGGTTTCGACATTCGAAACCTTCAGGTGGTCCAATTCCTAGTATCTGTCTTTCGGAACTTCATCTTGAAAGTACACAATATAGTTACAATGCTTAGATGCTCTCAAGAGTTTGTCATAGCTAAACAGCTGGACCTCTCAATGGAGGCCATTTGTGTAGTTGAATCACCCAAGCTGACAACGCTCATGTCAAGACTAGCTTGGGGACTCTAAGATCAGTTCTTTGTTCTAACCCCATTGCAAGGTTGGATTGATTGGTGGCTATGGGCAAGCTCAGACCCCACCGGGGCTTCACAAAACGATGGACTCCTCCAACAGCTGGGACGTTCCATGCACTTCTGTTCGATGCTCGGAAAGCTTCAGCAGAGCGCCAGACCACCAGCGCTTCTGTTTGGGTCGGCGACCCAAAATTCTCGTTGTGGCACCGCGACCACCTTCCACTCCACCTGGACTCCCCCTCTCTCACCCAGCCTCCAGGACCTCGAAACCCACCACCAGAGCGCCCTCCTGTGGAGCTTTGGGGTGGAGCTGCGGGGTGGCGGATGCATCGGTCCCCCCTTCTCCTATATAGCAAGAGTCAGCCAATGTGTTTCTGCTAGAACAGGGCGTGTTTTCTTTGTTTTCAGCGCTTCTCCCCCGCTGAGACAGAGCTCTGATATTTCGCCAGTACAGCAAACGAACGACTTCGCCGAGGAGGCTTTCCGATGAGCACAGTATATTCTCAAAAAGCTTGGCAATCGTGGACCCCAGGTTTGGGCAGTGGAAAACCACTGCCAGGGCTTCAAAACTCCTTGGAAAAGCCTGAAAAGCCGGAAAAGCCCTCGGACATCAACTGCCATCAAATCACCTGCCAGCTTCCACATCATTCGCGCCACTCACCCCCAACAAAACCCTCACCCCCCTACTACCCCCTACTACCCCCCTCAACCCCACCCGGGCCGCTCTTCGTGCTTCATGGCCTTCCTTCTTCATGACCTCCGTGCTCCACTCGGAGAACAACGCCGTCCCCGCTCGGAGAACCACGTCTCCCCCGCTGTGCCCCGGCCTTGTCGATCTGATCACGGATGAAGCAAATCGGCTTGGTGCCTCGGAAACCGGACGCGCCGGGACGCGGAAGCCGGGGATCGTCCGGTTCGGCGGGCCTATAGGATGTGGGGACGGTTGGACGGTTGGCCTCCAGGTTTGGTGATTGCACATAGGACCTGGTCAATTTGGGAGAGAAAAGGAAACTGCCAATGTCCCTCCGTCATCCACCTTCCATCTTTAGGATTAGTAGATAGCAGATAGTCTACATGAATCAAAAAGTCCAGCGGAGATGCTTTCAAAAGCCATGTGCCAAGGCAAGTGAGTACCGTAAAATCCTGGTGCCCTTGATGCCACGGTCGATCATTCACACATGGCACAGCTTCAGCCAAGTCCATCAACATCCCTCTGCGCTCCAAAATCAGGTGGACAAGTCCTCTAAAGATGAAGCATGCAAACAGGGACGTTGTGCTTTTGGGATCCCAAATGGGATCCTTATGTCTTCTCCTGCCGGGTCGACCCCCCAAACCGAGTAGACGGGTCGATTTCCCGAACCTTCCAGCAAATCGGTCTGCCGTCTCCGGGAAAACACGTTCCATCCTGTGTGGGCGTTCACCCCCTGTCCTGATTGAAGCTTGGGAAACTTAAGAAGGAATTGCCCTGTCCATGACCCACCTCCATAGTAGTACCTTTCGTGTCACTGTACCCAGAATGGTGTGCATATCAAACTAACAGGCCTGTCAAATCATGTGGTAGAAAGTAAGAGTACCACATGAGCTGGAGCTGCCGACTGAACAGAACGTGGAAAAGCGCGTAACAATACATAACACAGAGAATCAACAACAGCAACATCTTCAATGTGACGGTCTGAGCCCTGAGGCATACTGGCTCTCCCTGAGCGTTGAAGGTATGCTCCACTTGCGCAAAGGCCGCGCCTGCCGTCCCGTGCGTTTGACGTTGATGTCTGAATCATCCGCTCTATGTACACCGTGTTGTCACGTAAACGAGGTGGAGAGAGGAATTTGATTGCACCTGGTGACGCTTACCGAGAGATTGGGTTGGCCGGCTCACCCAAAAGGTTTCTGTGTCATTCTCTGTCCTCTTGTCTGTTCGCCCTCAAATGCTATCGGTGTACATACTTCGTTGGATGCCCCAGAACTCGTCTCACCTACGACAGACCGAAAAACAAGGGATCCAAGTTCAAAAGAAACACCAAGAAAACTCTGTTCTCAGTCCCATGCCTTAGGACCTTAGGACCTTAGGACCCCGGACCGGACTCTGTTCCGGTCTCACCAGCTGTCCGCGTATGCCCCTGATCACGTGTGGCCAAAATGGCCAAATCACCAAGAAGACAAGTGGTCAAATGCGGCACCATTGGGTGAGAAAAAGATGTCAGTCTTTGAGTTGCCTCCAAACAAATTTATATGGAAAAGTCCAAAAGGATCATAAAGGATGCAGGAGGTGCCCCTTCTGGAAGAAAGCAATGATGCTGCACAGCAACGTTGATTGAAATGGGTGGAAGAATCGCGTGCCTAAAATGAGTCTTGCCAAAACTCAGTTCAGTTTGACACGCTGAAAGATGTTGGAATGCTTTACGGTGAAAAGAAAAGAAAGTGAAAACCCACCTCTGAAATCATCCGAACAAGTCCGGCTTCTACCATCCGGGCGCAAGAGTCAAGATGCCTCCCGTTTGAATATAAAGCAAAACAGAGCTCTTGTTGATTTTGAACCCCAAAGGCCAAAAAAACAACTTGCCGCTGATTTACTTCCGGTGGCTCTGCTACGCCCACCCCACTATATAAAGGACAACAAAGCATGGGAAAATCGACCCATGGTGTCGTCAGCTCATCCCAGTCGTGTGTTCGGCCTACATAGAGTCTGCAGACCAGGAAAAGTCCAGGGTCTGCTTTCAACGAGAGCACCTCAGAGTCCCAGAAATTGGAATCCCTCCAGGCACCAAACCCGAACCCGCGCATGGAATCCGTGCTGTAGATGACGTGTTCCACTCAAAAGCTTGAGAAAAGCAAACACGGCGAGCTTTGAGGCTTAGGTGGCATTACCTTTGAGAAATACCTACCTATTAAATACCGTAAGTAGCATTTGCTATATTTCTAGATTCGACAGTATGGATATATTTGAGGCACCGGCTCCCGGGTCAGATTTTTGGTCTGCATGTGCATCACTGAAAACACGTCCCAGGACTAACACGAAAGATGCAAGGGTCATGAATCATGAAGCCTTCTTTGCAACGATGCAGACCCTCCACAGTCTTGTTCTTCAAAACAATAGGTTGGCATCCCAAACCGAAACAGCGAAGCATCTAGAGTTACTTACTTGCTTCAAGTCATAATAAACATGTCTTTCCATTTAAAGAATAAAACTGAAATCACCATGGCCGGCTCTTTTCGCTTTCAGCCGACACCTCTGTCTCCCGCTCGCAGCCGACACACTCCGCCCCACCCCCGAACTCGAAAACAGTTCTCTCCGCTGCTTGGTGCCGAGGGACGCAGTCGCCTCGTGGTGCCTTGGTGCTCGGGGTGTGTGAAATCCTCGTTCTTTCCAGGCAGCAGGAAGGCCAAGTGGAGCAACTCTGAGCACTGGAGTATTCCAAGATGTGTCTTCGAATACCACATGAAGATCAAAAAACGAAAAAATAGAAAAGAAAAAAACAAGCTTGGACGGCACATTGACCACACCCTCCCATCCAATCCACCGAGTGGCCAAGGAGTCTTGGTCTTGTTCTCGCTGAACCTCTGAGGGTCTCAGAAACTGTAGCTCCAACTGCAGCTCGTGAGCACCCGCCGCCTCACCCAACCACCGGACCAAGGCAGTGCTGATAGCCCTCGACCCGGTGCGTCATAGCCCTCTGATCCGAGTCCGTGATCCCAGAGGCAGAAGCCACAGGGGGTCCATGTCACAAAACAAACATAGAAGAATAGTAACATATGAAGAAAAATGGTTTACTATATAACAAAAATGGTAATAACAATAAAAGTTTACTATTTAAAAAAAAAAAAAAACATAGTAAATCTATGTCATGATGTTCTTAGATTGTGTTGTTGTCAGTGGGCTCAACCGGGGCAGTGACGGAAAAGCCACAGACTTGCTCGTTAAACTGAACCCCAAACCACAAGTCTGTACATGAGTGCGCACATTAGAAGACTGGGAAGAGCCCAAGTAGACTGACTTCAAAGCCCATTGGAATGATAGGACCATCTTAAGACCTCCAACGACCACGCAGGTGTTTCCACCAGCCACATCTTTCACTTTGCCCTGGCCCGCCCAGACCGGTCTCGTCCAGTATGTCAAAACGCCTCGAAGATCGGAGACGTCCAGGAGGGTGGCCTGGGCGGTTGGATGACTTGTCCAAGTGGACTTGAAGTCCAGTGGACTGAGAATTGTTCCTGAATGAATAAATCGAAGGAATCGAACGATCTTCAGGAAAACTCCTCTTCTCCATCCAGAAATGCCTTGGACTTCGTGAAATCTCTTTTGTGGACCACTCTAAGTCAGTCTAGTCTTTCCATGACGGTTCATGACCGTTGCGGTTCGAAATCATCAGGACCCAAGGTCGGTCTCGCCTAACGTGAAACTCCCCGTGCCTCTGAAAAGCCAGAAAACCAAATCCTTGCTTTCTCCCTCTTGCTCTTCAAGTCAAAAACCAAATCAGGTGATTGACCAGTCACGGTGGCGAAACTACCCTTCCGGGCCAAGCAGCTCACTTTGCGGCGCATCCGGGGCGCGTGTTCTCAACGCCAACTCTGCCAGGCGCGCCGCAGCGTCCTGGGCCACGCGGGAAGCGACATTGGGGGCGACATGCGTGTCTTCGAAAGTGTTCCTCGTGGGAGCTCAAGACCATGGAAGATGGCGGTTTTGGTTGTGATGTGTGTTTGAACCAGAAAGCTGTCAGATTGACATGAGGAATAGTGATCAAATGGAAGCAGTCGAAGAATGAAGAAAACAGGCTGACCATAGGCATACACACAGATGGGCACACAATCACATTGCAATCAGTTCGGCTCGTGCAACTGGCAACCGTTTGCCTACCATCAAAGGATATTATGACCGCAAAACATCTATCAGTAACAAAAAAGACTAAACCATACTAAACCAGTGATTCCCTGATGTTTTGATTCTATCTGTTTTTGGGCCACTTTGATTCTACCAACTAGATCAACAAGCTTTGGTGTTTCCAGGTTTTGGGAGAAATCCATCATCCTAAGAATCCGGAACTCAAATGGAAAGGGTGGCACGAGTCCAAACGACGATGAAAATGTGGATCAAAAGAACAAGCAGTCCGAGTCCTTCTATTCCAGCAATCAATACAAACGATTCTTCAGAAATTTAAGAAACATGAACCATGGGTTGACAGGAGTCAACCTGTTAAGCGTTTGCAACATCCGGTTTGGTGATCTTGGAGTCCTTGATGTGCCAATCCACGCGTCGAGTGGGAATATTCTCCACCTGCAACCAGGAACGAGATCGGAGATCCCGAAGACCCCTCCTGCTGAAAGCGTGTCTGCTGGAAATCATGTCCATCTGCTCGGAGAGGAATTCTGGGGATCAATATGTTTTGGCACACTACAAGAACACACACCAAAAAAGACAAAAAGACTCCAACCCATACATCACATGGAAGGCCTATCAAGACATCAAAAGCATTCAAAAGCCATCAACAGCCCAACATGGCCAACCCAACCTAACCAACGGCCGTGCCCTTCACCCTTCGCCTCCATTCTGTTTGTAAAGAAAATAACGGCGTGCGCTTACATACTCCCCTCTCCAGCGAAAAATACGTCGTTTTCAGGAGCATTTGCGGTCTCCACTGCAGTGGACTGACGAATGACTCAATGACCTCCTGACGCGGATGGACGACGTCGACTGGACCTCTGCGATGATGTTGGTGAGGTAGTTGGTGCGTACCTCAGGCAACCCGAGACCCAGCGCGACGGTCGGCCGGGAACCGACGGACCGAGGGGAACGGGAGCCGAAGCGGAGGGACGGTCCTCACCAGGTGGAAATCTCCCCAGCCCAGTTGAATTCAGTTATGAAGACCCCGAGTTCTCTTTCCCGAAGCTTGGGTCAAGCTTGGGTGAACAAAGGTCCGCTAAGGCTTGGGTGGGAATTTGGGGTGCGAGGTCATCAAAGGGACAGACGAGCTGGAGATGTCACCCTTTACTTTAAGCGGAGAAGATCTGCAAACAGAAACTCAACCAAAAGATTCACAGAGAATGGACTGGTCTGTTCTTGTTGCCATAAAATATGGGTCGAAAGCTGCAGTAGGTTCAGAATGAATGGCACCAACCTGACCAATTCTTATGGAATCCGAATCTCAAATAGATACATACAAATACTGTATGAGTTTGCACCGTGTCCGATGCATCATGCGATGAACTTTCTTGGAAGGGGCATTCACAGTAATGATATGTAATGATCCACATGAACAATCCCTGTTCAAGCTTCATCCCTGAGCTTCTCCTCTCAAGATACCTCTCAAGATACCTTTGAATTGAACCTTTTTCATGTCCAAATCAAGTCGTTGACGCGGAAAAGGCCCTGCAACCTATCTCCCGAATGCTTGGAAATATGAGCACTTGCTCTCATCGGAAGTGTGAGTCGTTCCAAAAGAATTATGAAAGGGGGAAGTACAACTTTAACATTCTTAAACCAACTTGGCATCCTTACATAGTATTCCTTGTCAGCTCTTGACACATTCTTCCTTGACCTCCACAGAGATTGATCTGTAAGAACGGCTGGAACCCCAAGGACCTTCTAAGCGCCCTGACATCGAGTTCATCAAGCCTTGTGCCGTGGTCGCTGCCTCAGTCATCGTGTGGAAGCGCCGTGTGATCCGGAGGACGAGTCTTCCCCTCCGAGAAAAAGGACACAAGCCTGCGTTTAGGGCGGTCTACAAATCTGGGATAGACTATTCCTTAGCCGGAAGACTATTCCTCTGCAAACATCCCCAAGTGTGTAGTTGGAAAGCAAATCGTTTATCTGAAGCAATGAACTTGTTTCACTTCGTAAGCCACTGAAGTCTATGCCAGCGCCATGATGCTTCCAGGGTTTCTAACGAGGCGACTTTCATCGGCCCCTTCGAGGGTTCATGTGCGGCTATCACCCCCTCAGCCATGCCGGACGAGACGGTGAAATTGAGTGAAGAACCCCCGCTGGAAGTCTTCATTGCTATTGCTGAACACGCGCGATCTTCAAGAACAAAGCTTCTTCAAAGGCCGTAGAAACTCATCCAACAGTGACTTCTGCGTCCCCAAACGGCCTCACCCGCATTCGGACCAATGCAGACTCCAAACGGCCTCGTTGACGTCCAGATCTGTTGGAGTTCTGGAGGTGACGAACTGGTGAGAGCCGTTTTGCGGCACCTGTTTTGCGGGAAGATGTTTAAAAGTGAGTCAGTTTAAACACCTCCAAAGACCGTGCAAAGCACCGTATCAAGCGCTAACGGCGGCACTGTATCCAGTTCAGCTCCGCACGGCACGGTTTCCGCTTCTCCGCTCCTCCACTCCTCCACTCCAACGGAGCGGGGCCCCGCACGGAGCCGGCTCTCTCGGTCGGAGAACTCCATGGAGGTGTGGCCCACCAAGTCCTGAGGGGTACCGGTGGCATCCGTCGGTCGCCAGTGGCCGGACATCCCAGCGACGCAAATACTCAAACATATATCATATACCAGAAAGCCATGCAAGGTTGGAGGCCATCGGAGGCCATCGCTATTATTAGGATGGAGGCAATTGCTATTGAGGTCACCCACAGAGTACCCTACTAGACTGGTGGTTCCAGGAAGAAGGCCCCAGAAGGGTCTGGATCAACTCCCTTTCACCCGAAGATAAGCGCAGCGGTTCGGGTGAAAGAAGAAAACACCATTGTGAGGAAAGCTGATGCAGAATCCTGCCAAAAAAACGAGAATGTGTTTTGTAAGTTTCTCTTTTCTATATATATATATATATATGTGTGTGTTCTTGATCGTCTGTGCGATTGGATGTGCCACCAGTCCTTTGGTGGGAAAATAGATGAAAATAGACCCACTGGTTGAACACCCAAAAACTCCATGCTGATGAGTTTGGTTGTGGGTCTAAAACTAAAAACCCAACATGCCTCTTTCGGCGGTTAGTATCCGCAACAGGATGCACTCGGAGGGTTTTTTTTCGGGTGTCCTCTTCGCCACGCATGGACGCTTGGGATGCCATGACCCCCCCATCGTCGCATCCTCCCAGCGCCCCGATCTCCTCCAAGGCCGCATGATTCCGCGAGACCTGCCGCGAGACCGAGACCGATCCAATATATTTGATATATCTGGCAGCGTGGGCCGTGGGTTGTGGGGGGGAAAGGTGTTCGGTGTTCAAACCCACCAACGGTCCAACCGGCCGGGTCAGGCGCGCTTGAGGCAACCGGAGGCAACTGGAGGGTTCCACCGGCCAGCCGGGCGTGCCGGAGGACCTCACCCATCAGTATCAGCTTCAGCTTCTGGGCCGTCCCTCGAAACACATCGACCCTTTTGGGCCAAACCTCCAAACCCATAAACCTCCAAGAAAAAGCACTTGGGAAGGCAAATGGGTGAAGCATGGTGGAGCGAATGCCTGGAATCGATCCTTGATCCTTGATCGCATCCTTTGGGTCATGGCTTCCTCACCGCCCACACACCGAAACCCATGACGCACGGACCCCTCGTCGTTCGACCCGTCAACGTTCGCCCGTTCGGTCCTGATCGGTCAGATTCGACACGCTCTCTTGCAAGTCCGCCGCGAAGGACTCCGCCTGGCCCGCACGTGGTGCGCAGGACCTCCCGTGCGCACGTTGGTCCGCGCGGGTTTGGCCAATGAGCTGACTGACAGCACTGGTGGTGAGCCGATCCGTGGACCGATGGTTCACACTGAATCAATGGGCATACGCGGACGGAAGGAACATGGTATAAAAGCCGGTTTGGACATACATATGATGGGCATAAGCCATGAGTCAAATCCAAACGATGGTATCTTGACATCGCCCTTCGTCCATGTTGTTCATTCAATCACCCCGGACACCATGATCCACAGCCATAGTGCCATAGTGCACCACATTGATTGCTACCGGCAAATTCAGCTCGTCCCGGACACCGACCAAACCCGGCGCTGTCCGCGCCGCATCCACGCGTTTTTTTTTGCATCCACGCATGTTTTTGTGGAGCCACGGACATGCCGCTTTTAGGGGGCGGTGGGTCGGCCCTTGAGGCTCACGAGCCACCGAAATAGAGGACGTAAGCACTGAGGATTCCTGGATCAGAGCCTGGATCTGTTGCCTGTTTCATTGTTTCAGATCACTCTGTCCCACAGAGCCTGTCTTAGGAAGCTGTCCACAGGTGTATATGTTCCAATGTGTTACACCATGTTACACCAAAAGCTGCTGCAAAAACAAGAGCTTCAAGGGATCAGCTGAAATGAAGCCTCAGAGATGCGAAGGGTCTTTCTTTGTCAAAGAACGCTTTCAGAAAATTCATGTGTGCTTCATATGTGTGGGACCTTTCAGCTGACGAGTGCTGTTGCTTACTTCTTCCGCACCGTGTGCGGACCCTTGGCTCGAACCCAGTCACCCTCGCATCGACGCGGGTGGGGAATCCGAAGGACCAAATAAGCCGAACGCTTGTTCACTTCTCCCAAATGGTATTTGATGTTGCTTCCTCTGGAGAAGAATGAGGAAACTTCTCAGCCTTCAATCCTTTTTCTGGTCGTTTGGATGGTTAAACCATGTTAAACCCGTCCGAGAGGCACAATTGCTTTTTTGCTCAGCTTCAGAGACCCCTCGACCGCACAGAGCTGCATTCCGCAGCTTCAGCCGCAACGCACAGTCTTCCTCACTCAGGTTTGCTGGCAAACTTGACCTCGGAAGCTGGTGGGGTCGTATGGCTCCGAAAACGGCAGCGCAAAAACCACTATGCAGAACACTGTGGAATCTCCCGCTGTGGGCATGGGGAAAGGCGAGTTTGGATTCGATTGAGGAAGCTGCAAGAAGGACAACAAAGATCCGGTGTTGATTCCGCCCTTCAAACAGCGTGGATCTATACTTCCCCCTGCACCAAGTGCTTTCAAGGATTCAAAATGGCATCCTAGACGCCAAATGAGCCACTCTCCCCACATCAAAACGACCAGAACAGTGGCCCCAAGAGCCACGAAGTCTCTCCCGCAGTCTCTCAGCCACGGAACGACCTCCTTGAAGAACAGAACGCCCTCCGCCTGCAACTTCTCGAGGACCTTGTCCGAGTCATCCATATCCAACACCTACGAGTTGGTCTCATTTGGGCGGACGATGACAAGCAGCCGACTCCGTCACCCATGGTTTCATGGGTGAAAGAAAGACAGGTAGAATATTGTAGCGTGCAACAGGTTGATTGTGACAGAGCTGCCACCGTGCCGAACAAGTGTCACTGCGAAAATTCATCATTGAAATAACGCTGCAGGTCGGGATTGGTCTTTCCGAGAAGAATTGCTTGGGAAGGCACAAAATCCATCGGAAACACTGTAGCATGTTCAGTTTGGGTTCCATATTCTGCACCCAAAACCACACCAATCCCCTCTCCACCAAAACAGATCGGTGTCAGGTGCAGGAGCCTCTTCGGGGAAAAGAATGTGTGGAGGATCGTGGAGGTGTCTCAGGAAATCAATGACCTGACAAGGACCTATATTTAAGCATGCCGGCATAGACCCCAGATAGCACTTCAAGAAGAGTTGGACACCATGGCAAGAGCGGGAGACAAGCTTGGGAGACATCCCACTCAAAGCCGGGAAAAGGATGGAAAAGGTAAACAAGACCTAAATCATCTTATAACAGCATCCGCGTCAAAGGCAGGCAAGAAAATGACAAGGCGGCAGCGGCAGCCAAGAGCGAAATCAGGAACAGAGACAAGCTTGGGAAACACGGCGGCAGCGGCAGCCAAGAGCAAGTTATTGAGACAAGGCGGCAGCGGCGGCCAAGAGCGAAATCAGAAAGGGAGACTAGCTTGGGAGACAAGCTGGCAGCGGCAGCCAAGAGCGAAATCATGAAGGGAGACAAGCTTGGGAAGCAAGGCGGCAGCGGCAGCCAAAAGCGAAGTCATGAAGGGAAACAAGCTGGAGAAACAAGATGGCGGCAGCCAAGAGCGAAGTCATGAAGGGAGACAAGCTTGGGAAACAAGCCGGCAGCGGCAGCCAAAAGCGAAGTCATGAAGGGAGACAAGCTGGAGAAACAAGATGGCAGCGGCAGCCAAGAGCGAAGTCATGAAGGGAGACAAGCTTGGGAGACAAGCCGGCAGCGGCAGCCAAAAGCGAAATCATGAAGGGAGACAAGCTTGGGAAACAAGGCGGCAGTGGCAGCCAATTTCCGCAATCCGGAACCCATCCATTGAGAAGTAAGAACCCCTATAGCTTCCAGCTATCTGGGGAAAAGAAAATGCACATCCCACACCCTGCCCCGGAAAAAAAGAGAGCAACAAAAACAACATGTCCAAATTCTAACACGTCCGGCACAACTCCTCGAACATGCTGACCTTCGTCCCCTCAGCGACCTGCCCGTGCTTCCAAAAGCTTCTCTTTCGCCTTCTTCCCCGCGCCTCCAAACGGTCCGAGTTGTCCATTAGGACCTTGCCCGGCTTTCCTCGGCACGAGAGTCGTGGGTGCCAGTCACGGCTCGCGTGGGGAGCAACCCACCGTGACGTGGGTCGATGGAGAACATCGGTGTGATGAAGCACACCAGCAAAGCCCACGTCGTTAGTGCCAGTCACTAGTCGTGCATTGAGGCAAATTGCTGCACCGCTCGCAAGGCTGATAGATTCCTTGCTGCCCCAACTACTATCACTATCACCACTCCTGATGCTCTTCCTACGTTCGCATTGCCGGTCTGAATTCTCCAGCTTCCACTGCGTTGGCATCCCGATCCCTGAGTCTGTAAGATTTCCTCATCAAGTATACCCTACAAGTCCAAAGACCCAGTAAAACCTGGTCTTTTACCTCCTTAAGTATTGGTTTTGTATGACCAGCTCCAGCAAAATGAGGTCTTTGACCTGTAGGGATATATATAATTGCTACACTATTCTTTCTCACACATGCAATGCTGTTACACATGAAGACTTGATGTCTTGCTCCGCCAAACTTGGCATAGGCCTTGAAACCCATGTAATGCTGACGCCACTCTTCGAACTGTACGTTATTGAAGAAATGTCAACAGCTTATGATATCAATCAAAAAAGAGCCTCTACCTGCTTTTGGCTTTGTTGTTTGGGGCAAACACTTCAAAGTCTTCAAAAATTCAAAAACATCTTTGGGTACAACACATGGATGCTCCAACCAGAAAACCTAGGACCCTGAAAGAATCACAAGCGGCTATATAGGTGCACCTGATTCCCTTGCCATGATGAACATTATGGTCCATTATGGTCTTCAACAAAAACATCATCGTGCTCCACCAGCTATTCTTTGATGTCCTTTGTCAGGGTCGGGTGACGAAGCCACCTCACGACTTCCTACTGTTTTGAACCCAGATGACCCCAGCAGTTCAAGGAAACACTGCCCAGGCTCTTCAAGGTCTGGTGACCAGACGCCAACTCCCGAACCCTTCTCCCGCCGTCTCCCGCCCTTTGTTTAATTTGGCAGGGGGTCCGGCCAGGTCACTCTCTTGAGCGATCGATGAAAGTGGGAACAACGCCTGACTTCAATTAAATCATTCAACGGCTCTAACATACCTGCGGTGTATGCCGTCACAGCGGTCATCTTCATTGCGGCAAACGTTGCAGCCAAGGCGCCCACCTTCTTCACCCCAAGCTTCTCCAGAAATGCGTCCATCGTTTTCCTCGGGATGGAAACGAACAACTGGTCTGAATCTTCCAAGGAACCGGGTCTTGGAACCTTCCATGGCAGCACCCGCTCCGTTGGATTTCTTAAAACATTGAAACCTCGAAAATCCAAGAAAATATCCATGTCACCCAACAAGCCCAACAATACAGCCAAAAAGCCAGATCAACAGCTCAGTACCACCAGCGTTCCCCCTGTCAGGTCACCACAGAGACAAAACAACCATTGACCTGTTCACAACCTCGGCCTTTCCACGTGGCAAAGCTGCACCCATCCATGCCAGGCGTCTCATCCCACAGGTAAACACAGTGCTTCAACAGCATCTCCTTGTCCTCTCAGTCGGCAGACTCCGTTCCATCCGTCCAGACGGAGAACACCGGAGCCACTCGGACTCCTGGACCATTGAATTTGGGGTGTCCAATTGAAGGGATTTTTGACTGGTGCAGCTTGAGGCGAACCGCAGTGAGTGGAGCCAGGCGAACCGCGGAGGATGGTGCTGTAGAGAAACCCTGGTCGGAGGGTCAAATCCATTCGGAATATTCGGATCCAAAGTAAACAACTACCGTCCCCTGTGCAAGGCCTACACCATGTGGGCATTGCCGGGATGTTGCAAAATATCACCCTCACAGAAAATGACGCCGAGAAATCCCTGAGAGGCTTGGAACAAGTGGATGAAATCCCAGGTCCAACGAGTCCAAGGAGTTCCTCAAAAACCGGAGCCAGACCAAGACTGCTGACTCCTGACCGGAGTTTTTGGACCTCTACACCCCTGATCCTTAGAGGAAAAAAATCTACTTAGATATTACTATAGGGGCCCTTCCAGTTCTGCTGGCCGCCTCTGCACAGTTCTTCTCCTCACCTCCCCAAACCCTCCCTCCCCTCCGGTGCACTTCAGCGGTCTCCTTCGCCCCACCGGTCGTCCCGCCCGTGCCGGTCGCCCGGCTTCCGCTTCGGGCGGCCTCCTTCTTCTCCACGGAGGTCGTGGGATCGAAGGGCACGTCAGCGTCCTTTTGCTCCCACATCCTCGAAGGATCGAAGGGCGGCCCAGAGTTCGGGGGTGCTTTCTGGAGCGAACGCAGCCGATTGGGAGCCGGTGTGGGAAGCATCACTTGGATGCTTCATGATGACTCTAGTGATCTAAAGAGGAAGAAAGGGGAAGGACCAGAAGTGTTCCTGTGATTCTTTGTGCTCACCATTTCTAGGACTCTCGAGGAGAGCCAGCACATTCGGCTTTGTCCTTCATTCACTTGTCTGTGATCCCCAAATAGATCAAAAAGCCTCCAAGCTTCACTGTAGTGGGGATGTCAAAAGATTCCCCTCCGTTTTTCCACTACCGGTTACTAGTGTTGGTCCACAGCACCTGAAACACCGATCGCTTGTCGATTGCCAGGATTCCAGGATCTATTGGGCCAGGGGGTGACAGGGTGGTTGGGACCCCCCACTCCCAACCTTCCGACAGACCCCGAAGCGCAAGTTCTTGAGGTTGGAGGCCATCGCTATTCGGTCGTAGTCCAATTGAAACGTCGCAACGAGATGAAACGACATGAAACGAGACGTTCCTGTCCCGGGTCGATCTCCGGGGTTCGGTGCTTTCTTCTCGCCGCCGGCGGAGAAAACGGTGCTTCTTGGAGCACACGGCGTTTAGAATCATCGTGAACGACTCAAGCACAAAGATCTTAAAAGAAAGAGAGAGAGAGAGAGACTCTGAGTGAGAGAGAGAGAGAGACAGGGGAGAGGTTTGAGTAGAGGAGCGTGGAGTGTGGAGTGTGGAGTGGAGCCATCTCCGCCGAGCAGCCAAGCGGTGGCGCAACTCTTCAAAGCGTTCCCAAACTTCTTGGCCTCCTCCTGCGTCACCAGGTGTGGGAGACCCAACATGAAGACTCAGAAAAAAGAAAAAACTGGGGACAAACATGAAGTTCAGTTCATGTCCTTGTCCTCCGTGCCTAAACAGACCAGCTCAGCTTCAATCCCATGACCGTGACCCACGTGCATTCCGCACGACGCTCCTCGTTGGCCCATTTCACCTCCTCACAAGCAGACCATGGTGAGAGGAATCGCGGGGACAGAAGATGGTTGAATCTTGGGTCTATCCCATTACCAGTAACAGTGGATGATGATGGTTAGTAAAGGCCTTTCTCAAAAAAACACATGTTACAGGATGTTACAGGTAGTAGGACAGACCCAAGTTGAATCATTCTGGCAATCTCCAGCACTCCAGATCAACTTCGATCAAACCCAGCCGGTAAACACTCACCGTAACCCGTATATATAGTGTGACCACGGGGTTTGGGGAAAAAGCACTCCAGATCCAGAATGCGTAACCCGAAGCGAGACCAGGTGAGTGGAGAAAAAGACAAGAAAGCAGCCGTCCTCCATCACGAGGGTCGCGCCATTCATCTGCGGCATCTCCTTATGAGAAGAGCGTGACACGATTCCATGGCATCTCCATGACATGGGGTTTGTCCGCAATCGTTGTTGCGAGTGCGAGTCTTTGCCAGTCCATTTGGCCACCTTTTTATTTTTTTTCCCAGCTGCCGGCACCATTTTGCGATCGTGTCATGAAGCCGAGGGCATCACGGTCGAAGCGATGAGACATCGACGCCATCTGCCACCCAATCCATACAGGCAGGAAAAATAAGGCCATCCATCAAACAAAATTGTGGATTCGATTCCCATCATCTTCTGAGTAACTTGGGATGCCAATGGCTTTTCCACCGGTCCAGGTATGTTGCTCATTCCCACCCCTCAACCCCCCCGCGGCGACGCCTTCTTGCCCTCAAAGAGCTGGCCCAGCGCCTCCTTCGCAGTCTCCTGGCTTTTTTCCGCAAACCCACCAGACCGACCCGGACATGCCGAGAGACGCGAATTCTTCGGTGCAAGAAAGATGGGGGGAAACATATTAACACATATTAAAACCACAAATGAGTTTTGGCATCGCCTCTTCATGGTACACATTACAGTCCCTTCCCTTGAGATGGGGGGAAACTTAAAAATCTGAACCGTAGGTGGAAGAACTCCTGCCTCTCATGCACGATGTGAGAAGAAAAAGATTGGCGGGTGCTTTGGTGGGTGCTTTGGTGCTTTGGTTCTTTCGTCCGGATGTCATCCACCATGCAGTGGGATTCATGACGGTCACATTGCAACTGCTCTGCTCACCGTCGTTATCCATCTGATCGCCAGCACTGCTCCGTGCAGGATCCCGGAGGGGTCCCCAAAGCGGCCGACGCGACCGGACCGAGGTCCCGGCTCCTCATCCCACATGAACATCGCCCGCTTCATGTCCTCAGCGACCGAACGACTGGTGGCAAGTCTAACAGCCCTGTTCGCGGTCATGTGACTGGGTGATCGCCAAAGTAGTGGTAGGTTGACAAACAAGCATCATGTAGCCATTCTGCTGGTGATGTTTCCCTCGTCTTTGCAGATTAGTGTCAAACATCTGTTCTGCGACTGCCAAATTCGTGTTTCCTGCGTTTTAAACTGACCTCGAAGAATCCAAAACCTGATCCGCCTCCAGCTGGCTGCACACGAAAAAAGACCGATCGATCCACTTTTTTGTTTGGACGGCCCGTGTCCCAAAACCGGAAGAAGGCGGAGATCCAGCCCAAAAATGCCCAAAACACCACCATAGCCGTGCTTAGATGTTTCGGCCGTGTCCACCCAGCTGTTCGCATCTGTCCGTCCACCTTCCCACAGCCTCCCCACCATGAGTTTCCCTCGTTCCCACCTCTTTCTCCCAAGTCACGGTGGCCTCCTTGGAGTTGCCTCAGCACGCGACCGTCGTTCGTGGGGGTTTTCGTTCGCACGTTCGCAGCGGAGGGGGGGCAAGATCCTGCGGTGATGCGTCGGTCGGATGGTGCTGCAGTGGGGGCAGCTTCGATGGTGCTCAGCGTAGCAACTCCAAAACCCGATCGACCAGGTGCACACGCGTTGTGTCTTTGAGCCCACACATGTCTTAAGTCATCCATCGTTCTCACCCAGCATCTTCGGGTAGGCCATGTTCCTTTTCAAGTACCAATCAAAACATGTACGTCTCCCTCACCATTGCCCTCTTCACTTTGCCAAAGAGAATCACAAATCATGCTCATCCCGAAATCATGCCATCCTCATCTCGTCATCTGCATTTAGGAAAAAACAAACACACCGATTCGCTGGTCCCACACGAGTTAATATGGTGCGACCCCGCGACATGCTCTGCTATGTCTTGACGTCACAAAAAAGACCTCCCGCGTGCGGCATGCTCGAGGTAAGAACGAACCTCCGAACATTCCCTCGCTCCGAACGTAAAGAAGGTCGTCCTTATTGGACCAGGTGGCCCAAGCTTTTGATGGGCGTCCACATCTTCCCGCTTGAAGCTGGAGGGCCCCCTCCAGCCTCCTTGGCAGCGACCACTTTCTTCAGGACCTCCAACATCTCCTCGGATTTGCGACGAAGTCGGAGGCATGGGGCCTTTTACAGCCGAAGTTCGACACCTTCTGGGTAAAACTCATTACTACATATACCCTACAAGTCAAAGACCTCATTTTACTGGAGCTGGTCATACAAAACTAATACTTAAGGAGGCAAAAGACCAGGTCTGGGTCTTAGGACTTGTAGGGTGTATATATATATACATATTACTACTTCGTTCGTGGTTTCAAACATTTTGGGACAAGAACCGCCCCCAACCAAAGGACACCGTGTGCGGAGTGGGAAACCCAAAAGCATCACCATGGAAGTGGACAAACTGTTTGGTCGAAACGAGTCTGGAAGACTGGCCACATCCACGAACACTCGGCATTGGAGAGAAAGCCTGGATCCTCCAGCTTCTTTTTCTTTCAAGCCGCGGTCCAAGACCCAAAGCATTCGGTCGCTTTGTCCGTTGCTTGCCGCCGGGTCTCCGGAGGAATGTTCTTGGCCTTGGACGTGGCGTCGGATTGGTCTGGGTCGTTCAGCCCAAGAATTGGAGCCAGCTTGATCCCAACGACCTCTGATAGAACCAGTGGGTTTCTAAAAATCATCAAGCCCTGTGCGCCAAACCCATCTCTGGCCACTGCTCCTTGGATGGGACCCTTCCTTCCAAGAAAGTCCAACATCTCCTGACCATCTCCTGATCTGCCACCGGTTTTGCGGAAACCACCGCCGGCTTTGGTCGGAAACCACCAGGGTGGGCCACCCGGCGTGGCCAGTTCATTCGGAAACGACCAACGAGCCCCAAAACAAACCACCGAGTCGACGCACCCACCTTTGGGCTCCTGCCCCTTGGCACCTGTAAACCCTCCCTCAAATAGAAGCTGTAAACCCAAAACAGCCAGGAAGAAATGGAAAGAACCAGTTGTAAAAAAAAAAAAGAGGTAAAAAGGATTCAATGGATGGTCTTTCTTTGCAGAAACGGATGTACAGGAACATCCAGAAAGAACCATTTGTATCGGGCAGTTTTGGGTGATTTCACAGGAAGGTCTCTTCTGGAGTCGAGTCACCATCTCTTTGATCTCCTCCTCAGAGGGTTCCACGATCTTTCCCCCCGCCGGGGAAATTGGGATCGAGCCTCCCGCGCCCATGGCGTTCGTCGAGCGGAGCGAGCGCTGTCTGTCAGCGCGCAGACAGGCGGGAAGCTGAGCCCAAAAGCTGATGGCATGGAATGATGTAGGTTTCCAAGGGGAAGATGAAAAGAGATGCAGCGTAGGTCATAATTTCATGTCTTTTCCATCCCTCTGGGAATGATATAATATGAATTAGTATCACGCGCTTAGAATACCCCGCAAGTCTCTGAAAGATCCAAGTCTCTCACTGCCGGTCGTCCCACCCCTTCGGAGAACAGGTCCCATCCCTTTCGAAACCGAAAGGAACTTCCTTCACAGCTCCAAACTCCACCAGAAAAAAAACGACAACCTCCCCAAAACCCGCTTTTCGCGCCCCCACGCGTGGACACGTCCGGTTTGTCCGGCCCCACGTGGGACTACGCGCCAGCGAGCTGGGAGAGCTGTGGAGCACCGTCCTACACCGTCCGAGGGCGACCTGTGGAGACTCGGAACCACTTGGGTCCACTCCTTGCCCGCGGGCCGTTCCACTCCGCGGCGATGCCCGGTGCCCCCCCTTTTTCAGGCCGAGCCGTTCGGCTGTGCCGCCGTGCCATGGTGGGGTCAGGGGAGGTCTTTGGACTCCACCACAGTCAAAGACCGCGAGAGGTCAGAACTTCTAGCAGACCAAAGCCAAAGCGAAAAGCAAAGATTGTTTGAGATCCTATATATATATATTGTATATATATATATATGTGGATGCTTTATGTTGCAATTTTGTAACATAAACACCTAAGCCCACTTCAGCTCCTTCTCCAGAGTCTGTTCCGCGAAAGAACAACCATGCCAAGCTGAACAAGAACTTTCGGTCTGTTCAAGTGCCCACCTAATGCCTCAAACATGCAACAACTACTAGAATCCACAACAACACGTGAAAACTGGAATGTTGACCTATACATTGTAAGCACCCACTGAGTTTATCCCGTTTGGCCCCTTCAAACCCACCATGGCACGTGAGGTTGTCGCAGAAACCCCATCGCCCGGGGTCGCCCGGTGGCCTGGCCGGGTTGACCGGACAACAGCGCGGCTTCGCCCCGCAGCATGCCTAGCTCTTCCTTCGGAAGCGCCAGGTGGTGCTGCACCTCACTGCGACCTCACACGGTGAATTCCGGGCTTCGGAGCGCCGGGCTTCGGCATCGCACCGTGTCGCACCCGTCGCAGCATGCAGACAAAGAAGACCTTGCTTTCATCTCCTCCTTTCAAGTAACTTGTTTGTATAAGGTCCCAAAAACAACTTCAGACATTCTTCATCTCCTCTTGGACCTTGTTCGGCTCCGTGAACCTACAAGTGGATCCCTCCTCAGGAGCCTCACCCGACCGGACCGAAGGAATTCTCAAGTTTGGGAAGGCGGCCATGAGAACTGTGAGATGCAGAACTTTGGGCCTGCCATCCTTGGCATTCTCGCACACCCATGGCCGATGAACTAGGCAAGTGGAGGGAGAAAACAAGAAACTGTTAGCTCTCTCTTTGTCGGCTTCGTTGGTTTGAACCCTCGGCCGTCTGCGAAGATCGTCCCCCCCACAAAAAATGATTGTACTGTACCCGCACGTTGGTTCCGGAGCATGGCGCGGCTGGAAAGCATGAACCAAAAAAGCATTGGAAACTGCCAACCTTTTCGTAAACCACGCTGAAACCACGTCAGAGCCGCATCGATCAAGCCTCAGCGGTCCCACAACTTCAAAAAGGCCTCCCGCTCCCGGACCAGTTGCACCTGAAAACACACAGCGCAGGGGACAAATGGAACAAAAAACTACTAGACGACGAGTGGCCCGAAAGCATTTTTCGTCACGTAGGAAGTCAGAGTGCGAGTTATCCGGTAAGTGTGCAGTGAGAAGTGTGAAGTCGAGTGAGTTGAGGTAGTGTGTGGGCTTCTGTGCGTGTGTCTATGTCCGTGTGGAAATGAGTCTGCGTATGTGTGTGTTCGTGTAAGTTGAGGGAGTGTGTGGGTGTCTGTGTGTGATGCGGCCTCCCAAACCCCCCACCGGCGGCCAAGCGGTGACAGCCCAGCTCATCGTCGTGAGCATTTGGGCTGCTGGTAAGGGGACAATGGCAGCCAGCGTGCTGGCTTACCCACTTCAACTATGATGGTAGCCAGCGTGCTGGCTTTGCCATCTCAACAATGGCAGCCAGCGTGCTGGCTTACCCACTTCAACTATGATGGTAGCCAGCGTGCTGGCTCATACCCACTTCAACTATGATGGCAGCCAGCGTGCTGGCTTTGCCATCTGGACAATGGCAGCCAGCGTGCTGGCTTACCCACTTCAACTATGTAGTAGCCAGCGTGCTGGCTTTGCCATCTCAACAATGGCAGCCAGCGTGCTGCCTTACCCACTTCAACTATGATGGTAGCCAGTGTGCTGGCTCATACCCACTTCAACTATGATGGCAGCCAGCGTGCTGGCTTACCCACTTCAACTATGTAGCAGCCAGCGTGCTGGCTTACCCACTGCAACTATGATGGTAGCCAACGTGCTGGCTTTCCATCTGGACAATGGCAGCCAGCAAGCTGGCTTCCACTGCCTGTTATCAAAGGCACGTGTTACTTGTACTACCAAGTCGCCAGTTCTCATCTTCCAGCTCCCCAGCTACTCCGCGCACTACAGTTATATACTGAACCGTCGCCAGTTCGCAGCCACTACCCACTCGCCAGTTCTCCTCTTCCCATTCCCCAGCTACTCTGCGTACTAAAGTTGTACTACCAAGTCGCCAGTTCTCATCTTCCCAGTCCCCAGCTACTCTGCGTACTAAAGTTGTACTACCAGGTCGCCAGTTCTCATCTTCCAGCTCCCCACCTACTCCGCATACTAAGGTTGTACTACAAACTCGCCAGTTCTCAGCTACTACCCACTCACCAGTTCTCATCTTCCCACTCCCCAGCTACTCTGCGTACTAAAGTTGTAGTACCAACTCGCCACTTCTCATCTTCCAGCTCCCCCGCTACTCCGCGCACTACTAAAGTTGTACTACAAAGTCGCCAGTTCTCAGCTACTACCCACTCACCAGTTCTCATCTTCCCACTCCCCGGCTACTCTGCATACTAAAGTTGTACTACCAAGTCGCCACTTCTCATCTTCCAGCTCCCCCCGCTACTCCGCGCACTACACTCATGCTGCAAAGTCGCCACTTCGCAGCTACTGTCCACTCACCAGTTCTCATCTTCCCACTCCCCAGCTACTCTGCGTACTACATTTGTACTACCAAGTCGCCAGTTCTCATCTTCCAGCTCCCCAGCTACTCCTCGTACTAAAGTTGTACTACAAAGTCGCGAGTTCTCAGCTACTACCCACTCATCCGTTCTCATCTCCCCACTCCCCAGCTACTCTGCGTACTAAAGTTGTCTTACCAAGTCGCCACTTCTCATCTTCCAGCTCCACAGCTACTCCGCGTACTAAAGTTGTACTACGCAGTCGCCAGTTCTCAGCTTCCAGCTCCACAGATTGCTCCGCGTACTAAAGTTGTA